AAATCCTGAAAAACATAATTTCAAATTGACTGAAATGTTTGACAGCTCAAAGCCAAATTTTTAAGTGGGTTTTTTGTTTGTTTGTTTTTCATGTTTTGATTTGGCCATGTTCGGGTTCGTTTCACCCTTATATTTTTAAAATTGGCCAAATTTTGAAATGCCATTTCTGGAGAAAATGTGTCAAAATGCAGCATGTTGACTTTTAAAAGAAGTAGGGTTTTCCCCTCGGCCAAAACTATTAATTGAATTTAGGGTGACCAGATAGCAGCTGTGGAAAAAACGGGACAAGGGGTGGGGAGTAATAGGTGCCTATATAAGAAAAAGTCCCCAAAAACGGGACTGTCCCTTTAAAAATGGGACATCTGGTCACCCTAATTGAATTCAACACAAACTTGTGAAAAGTTGCAGAGCACCAAAAATTGCATTCTTTTGACAAAAACAAATCTATTAATCAAAAAAAGTACTCCGTTCTAGTCCTGAATGACACACTGCTTTGACCACAGTCCAGTGTAAACTAAAGACAAACCTCCCCCAGTTATTCCCTCCCAACACCCCCCACAACACTTACTAGGATTTTTGTTAATGGGAGAGTTACCCTCTTCCCTTCCTTCTCCCCTCATTGACCCATCTTCCTCCTCTAATCCTCCTTTATTTCCAATTCTCTTAATATAAGGATTTAGCGGAGTTTGTCTCCACAAATGCATGGTGTTCTGACCTCTAACATCGCCTACAGCACAAGCTGCTCCCCCACTTTTTCCACGAAGGGGGATACAAGGTCTTTCTCTACCCTCCCTCCCCTCATTGAAGTTTTGACTCTGAGGGCAGCGAGACAGGATTTAGCGAGATCCGTTACAGAAAGGAATTTCTCCAGTCAGCTTGTCTGTCTTTAAAAACTTTCCCTCTATCCCTTCGGTTAGTCCAGTTCAATAATACCTGAGTTGTCAAAGCGCATGCAGAGAGATGAGGGGGAGTCCAGAGCCCTCCACTTTGTCACAGGTAGTTAGTCTGCCGTGTGTAACTTTATCCCCTGTGTCCATTTGTCATGATAGCTCTCTTCTCCTGATTTAATGGTAGTCTGTCATCAATCTGTGTCTGTGGAGATGTATGCTGGCCTCCTGCCAATCTTCATCTGACAAGATTGTGTTAATGCCTTCCCATCACCTCTTGCCCCTCTGTGCCTCCTCCCCATGCACACACCAAAACACTACTTCCCCATCTCATTGGCCTCCTACCAATCTGCCATTGCATCAGTCGTTCACCACTTGACCTTTGGCAGCTGAGCTGATGTTTGAATTGGAACAAACTCTCAGGCTCGCAAAATTCTAACTATTGGCCCTTCCCCGTGGCCCCAAATCTTCCCTTCCATGGTTTACAACTGCAACAAACGTCCTTGCCACCAGGCGTTGCTCTTGCCCCTTCCTGACTCCTGCTCCAGTTGACAAGTCTCTGTGACCCACCTAGTTTTTCTGTGTCCCCCGTGTTAGAGTGTAAAGCAGACTGTCACCAGGGTTGGCAGCCTGGAAGCGCTTCAGGGGAAACACACCAAGTCTTCCTGGTTGTGGGGGAATGAAGTAGTTCTCAATGGGATCTGCGTGACCGCTCCAACCAGCCTGAGAGTGGATGGATGCAGAGGTACTCAGGTGTGGAGGAAAGAGGATGGAGGGGATACTGAAAGTGTTGTTTCTATTGCAGTAGCACGTAGAGCCCCGGTCATGGACTGGGATCCCATTGTGCAAGGTGCTGTATAAATACAGTCCCTACATCAAAGAACTTAAAAGCCCCATCCTTAAAGAACTACAAAGCTGACACTATAGGAGTGAGCACTGTGGATTCTGATGGTAACCAGAATACTTGACGCTCACAGGTTGTGGTTTGGAAGAGTGCAGAAAGTAAGTTGGCTTCCTCCCACATTAATTACTTTGTCTTTCAGTGACCATTACCAGTCCATTGCCATGAGGAAGTCAGAGTCACTGACTGCAAATCCCATTGGGTTTCATGGAGTGGAACTTCCTTCTGGGCCAGACTGCCTCAGTGCAACCCTTGTTGCCTTTGTTTCCCTTGCAGCTGGTTTCCTCCAATTGCTGGTGGCTGTACATAGCAACATCTGTTACATAAATGCAACATTAACAATGAGACATTAAACACTCCTAAAGTTAGCAGAGTCCAAACATTCAGGCTGCTCCCACAGTATTATCTCTGCCATAGAATGATAGAAATGTAAGACTGCAAGGGGCCCCAAGAGGTCATCTAGTCCAGAGGTTCTCAAACTGGTGTGTGTGGAATGTATTTGGGGGGAGGGGAGAGGAAATGTACTGCGTACATTCAGAGCTGGGTGGCCGGAGAGCAGCGGCTGCTGGTCAGGCACCCAGCTCTGAAGGCAGTATCATCGCCAGCAGCAGTGGAGAATTAAGGATGGTGTGGTATTGCCACCCTTACTCAGTGCTGCTACTGGCAGGCAGCGCTGTCTTCAGAGCTGAGCACCCGGCCAGCTGCCACCGCTCTACCTTTAGAGCTGGCCATCCAGAGAGCGGTGGCTGCTGGCTGGGCACCCAAGGGTGTGTGTGTGTGTCTGTGTGTAAACTACTACAGATACAAACTGGAGGGGGAGTCTTGATCAAATAAGTTTGAGAACCACTGATCTAGTCCATATCCACTGTGATGAGGCAGGACCAAGTATACCTAGACCATCCGTGACAGGTGTTTGTCCAACCTGTTTTTAAACCTCCAGTGACAGGGATTCTATAGCCTACCTCAGAAATATATTCCAGTATTTAACCATCCTTATCCTTAAAAAGCTTTTTCCTAATTCCTAACCTAAATCTCCCTTGCTGCTGATTAAGCAGATTACTTGTCCTACCTTCAGTGGACATAGCGAACATTAATCCTCCTCCTCCTCATAACAGCCCTTAACATGTTTGAAGACCATCGTCAGGTCCCCCTTCAGTCGTCGTCTGGTTTTGGGTTTTTTTCCCCAAGACTAAACATGCCCTGTTTCGTTAACCTTTTCTCATAGTTTAGGTTTCCTAAACTTTTTATCATTTTCGTTGCTCTCCTCTGAACTCTCTCCAATTTATCCACGTCTTAAAGTGTGACACCCAGAACTGGACACAGTGCTCCAGCTGAGGCCTCACCAATGCTGAATAAAGCAGGACAATTGTCTCCTGTGTCTTACATATGACATTCCTGTTAATATACCCCAGAATATAAGCATTTTTTGCAACTGCATCACATTGTGGATTCATTTAGTTTGTGATCCACTGTAACCCCCAGATCCTTTTCAGCTGTACTACCGCCTAGACCGTTATTCCCTATTTTATAGGTGTGCATTTGATTTTTTTTTCCTTCCTAAATGAAGTATTTTGCATTGGTCTTTATTTAATTTCATCTTGTTGATTTCAGACCAATTCTCTGTATTTCTCAAGGTTGTTTTAATTCTAATCATTTCCTCCAAAGTGCTTGCAAGCCCTCCCAGATTGGTGCAATCAGCAGATTTTATAAGCGTACTCTCCACTCCATTATCCAAGTCATTAATTAAAATATTTAATAGTACCAGACCAGGACAGACCTGTGAGAGTCCCCACTAGGTACATCCTCCCAGTGAATCATTGATAACTACTCTTTGAGTAGGATTTTCAACCAGTTGTGCATCCACCTTTATAGTAATTTCATTTAGACACCATTTTTCCTAGTTTGAGAATGTCCTGTGGGACTACCTCAAAAGCATTACTAAAATCAAGATGTATCATGTGTATTGCTTCCCCACTATCCACTAGGCCAGTAACCCTGTCAAAGAAGGAAATTAAGTTGGTGTGGGATGACTTGTTCTTGACAAAGCCATGCTGGTGGCTGAGTTTTACTGAACCACATGACTTACTGAAGCATAGTTTAGTTACTGCTCTATATTGCATAGTTGCTGCTCATTCATTTAAGTAACGTCTTAGGGTACCTAGAGCTTGGGATATCTACCTCTTTTGTTCTCAAAAATCCAAAGTGAAATAAACAAATACTGCACCGAGGGTTGGATTTTTCCAAAGTGTTCCACACTGACCTAATGTTACTCCCATTGAAGTCAATGGTAGACTTTTTAGTAGGAACAGAGCTAAGCCAATGATGTGCACTTCTGAAAAACCCACTCTTAAAACCAAACAATACATTTTAAGGTTTACAAGGATAAAAGGAATCTAAACCACTACATTGTGGGAGCTACCTTCGCTTCTAGAATCTTGTTACTTTTGAGTGCTCGAGTTCCCAACCTCAGCATTGCACTGCCTTGTTATTTGGAGGGGTAACAGTTTGCTTGCTTGATTTTGTTTGCATTTTTTGCCTTTGATTTCACTGACTTTGAATTTTCTTTTCTTTTCCTTTTTTTAAATAAAGACTGACTTGGCTTGAGGTGCTTACAGAGATCATGGGCTTCTTCAATCTTAGATTGATTGATTGATTTATTTAAATAAAACCAGTTTGAAATTACTAGCTTCAGGCACTTTTGGATTCTGAGGTGTGTGTTCACACACGCTTCATTTTCACACTCAAATGATCAAATAGACATTGGCTCAAACTGAGAGATCAGCTATGGGCATTTTCATCTGTCTGAGGCAATAATATGCAACTTCTTAATTTTTGTAAAGGATGGGTATTAGGAGTGGCTTGAAGCAGATATTGGAACTCAACCTTAACTAGCAGTTGCTAACATTTATGTTCTATTATATTTTTATTATGTCTGTTGAATTTTAGTATGATGTTTTGTTTTGTTTTGTTTTTAAAGTAAAGTATTCATAAGAGTGAATGGCGCCCCAGCTATAGTACTTTCTCTACACGTCTCTGCTCATATAGCACAATCTTGACTTGCAGCACCTCCTGCTATGCTTCTCCTGGGCCATAGTTATCCAAACTTGTAATTAGTTTTTCAGAGTGCTAATATCTAGTTAAATGCTAGAATGTTTCTGGTGAAGACTCTTCACTAACATGTTTGCCCTACCCGTGTCTCTCTCCTTTTGCAGGGATCTACATCCTGATTGCTGTTGGTGCAGTGATGATGTTTGTGGGGTTCCTGGGATGCTACGGTGCTATCCAGGAGTCCCAGTGCCTTCTGGGAACGGTAAGAGACACAAATGCTTGAACACTACATGGTATCAGGCAGATCTCTTAACAGATCTAAAATTTTGTTTGCGGGAAGTAGTGGGAGTCGTTTAAAACTGGACTGAATGGAGTACTGGAGAGCAGCATGTAGGGGAAGAATGTTACATTGGCCACTGGATAAGACTAGCTCTCTCCCGTCTTTAATAGCCTATAATGATGATGGGAGCTAATCTTTCGGACACTGACTAAAGCAGGGATCTCAAACTCCCGGCCCACGGGCCATCTGCGGCCCGAGAACCTCCCCACTGCATCCCACGGAGGAGAGATGCATGCAGACACGCTGCCAGCTGCAGGTGCCGCCTCCCCCCCCCCTCGCCCCTGCAGCTCTCATCGGCTGGGGGAGAGGAACAGAGAGATCCTCACTAGTCGCCAGGCAGAGTCAGCCATGGAGGCAGCATCATTAGTTGCCGGGCAGAGTCAGCCATGGAGGCAGGGTCACTTTTTTCCACAATGAATATAAACAAGTCAAAATACCGAACACAACTATCTGATGAACACCTTGCTGCAATCCTGAAGGTTTCAACTGCTCAGTCACTGAAGCCAAACATCAACAAACTGACAGAACTGAAGTGTTGCCAGGTGTCTGGCAAACACTAAAAACTCTGACAGGTGAAGAATTGTATAAACAGTTTTATTATTTCTAAGAAATTTGAAATAAAAAATACAATATAAACATTTTCTTCGCTGAACACCATGTTCAGTGACATTGGCCCGCTGGGAGGATTTGAGGACTGGCACTGGCCCTAAGGTAAATTGAGTTTGAGACCCCTGGACTAAAGGTATAAATAGCTTCAGTGTTCTCGGAGGATGAGTGTAGTCTCCCTGGGTACCACTCTTTCTCTACCGCCCCCTGCTCTTTTGGAAGTGAGATTCCCTGTGAGTGTCAGAAGAGGAGCAGTCTCCCTTGCTTTCCAGCCAGCTCTGGAGTTTGCACTGTGCAGTTCTGGACTGTCAGAAGCTTTGTGCTGCTAATGAACGTCACCAGCCTTTTGCTGATTCCTGGTCTCAGGAAGGGGGCAGGAGCCACCAGTAGGATGGGAGGGTGTAGGAAGCGGGACACACTGATATTCATTCCAGCAGTCACAGGGAAATGAGGCCAGTTGGGACTCGCTGCATTTATTTGTCCCACTCTGAACACAGTGCCTCCAAGCAGCCACAGAGACCCCCCCCCACTTCTTTCTTACCTAGTGTCCCCTACAAACTGCCCAAACCCTGGAAATCAGTTTCTGCCTCAAGTGGATAACCCAGTTCCTTAAAGGTTAACTGGCTGTGCTGTGGCCCTGAGTAGGTGTTTGGCTAAAGCTTCCTAGAGCACCACAGTGAGGCCTTCGTGGTAAATGCTGGGAAATTTGTTATTCAAGCAAGCAAGCATTATCAGCGTGATCCAACAGTTCAGGATTCAGGGCAGGTTCTGTCCTATTAACATTTGCACAAACTCCAAGCCCACACAATGCTGTTGTCCCCATTAACCTTGACCTCCACCATATCTCTTCCTCTCTATTAACCATGGAATTCCAGTAGGGACTACTCAGCACCTAAAACTGGGCTAGGTGCTTTAGATATGTGGTAAACAGTTGCCAGTTCCTCCGTTTATACGGGCCAGTATATATCTATCAACAGGGGAACCTGCATAATGGAGCCCTGGTAAACTAAACCATTGGAGAGTGAAGATGATTGTGCTGCTTGTAAAGAGAGGGAATGTTAGCCAATCTTAGTGTTCAGAGTGGGAAGTAAGTCTGGATTAATCATATGTCCAGCTTCCTGAGTTTTCAAAATAGACTATTCCATGATATTTCCAGCTTGTTCTTGTGACGTCTTGGTACTTTCAAAATCCAGAACTACAGAGCCATAAAAGTTTGAAAAATAAGAGGTGAATAAGGGAACTATCGATTTCTGAACTTTCTTTGACTCTTGCAAGTTTTGGTCTGAGCTTTGGGTGGAAGTTCATGTCTGCATTGAATCCCAGTGCTGTAAAGGACTCTGGCTGGAGAAGTTCCAGCGCTCCAGTGTGTTCATGGACTGCCTGTAATTAAGACACATTGCAATGGTACATCCTGTGTATTCTGGGAAAGAAATCTATCCTTATGAGCCAGCTTCCTGCTGCCATCTCTGTGTGTATGTCCTTAAAGAAAACACAGCACCCCAAAAGCCTCTACTTGTGGGGGAGTTTATTTGTTTAAAATTAGTCCTAGGCTGGGTTGTAATCTTAGACTAGACTCCAGTCTGTTTGGCTTTCCAAGGGAAAATGTTTCACAGCCCTCTCCAGTTAGGGGATTGAGCACCCCATTGGGACTCAGATCCAGGAATAGAACTCAGGTTTCCCGCCACCAGCCTGATGGGTGATCTTAGGCAAGTCATTTCTGTTCCCTGTGCCTCAGTTTCCCATTTATAAAAGGGTGATAATGATCCTGATCTCCTTTGTAGAACGTTTTGAGCTCTCCTCATGAAAAGTGCTATCTAAGAGCTAGATATAATTACTAATAACAATCGAAGGTGAGAGGAACCAAGTGGCAAATATGGCAGGGGTTGTCTGAGTGAGATCCTGAGGACCTTGGAAATACCAGGTTATAGACTTTCTGTCAGCAAATTCTTGTAAAACCAGGGAACTACAGTAATTGAATACCCTGCCTCCCTTTGAAGTCTGGAAGGAGATTTAATGGGCAGATGACAGAATATATGTGAGACCTCATAGTGAAACTGACTGCTACGGCTGAGATTAGCAGTGCTGACTGCATCCCTCCCTCCCTCCCACTTTTGCTTGCCAAGGGAAGGCTGGAGGCACCTTGTGAATGACACCTGATAAGCTGTGGTTACATGAGGAAACTGATGCTACTGTGCACTGAGGCATGGAGCTTTCAAGGCAAAGTGTTTTAACCCACCAGGTATTTATTTCCCCTCTGTGACCTCGCTCCCCGTGTGGCTGAGGATAATGGGTGTTCATGGGAAAATATTCATCACACAGGAGTAATACAAGGCAGTCAATGGCATTTAAATTGTCCACAAAAGCCAGATTGGAGACAGAGGCGCTAAAGACTAGGAACATGGAAGTGATCTATTGAGAATACGTTCTAATGCCACAAACGCTATTCTCACTATGTGGCTGGTAGGAGGAAGGTTTTCCTCCCCTAGCACACCTTGAAAGTTCTGTGCTGCTGCCATCTCCACGAATGTAACTTTGGGGAGCGTAGGAAGATGCATAAGGAAATGACTATTTCAGTGGAGACTCAGGAAGAGAATAACACAAAGAGAAGGTGTTGGTACTAAATGCGCACACCATATGCATCGTGAGCTTTGCTTCTAGGGATGCTGGATAGCTTTTTGGACGGCAAGAAATAAATCACTCCTTGTTTTGCAGTCCTGTGACCTTCAAAAGATTTCAGGGGCTCCTGTTAATGGAAGGGCAAGCTTTCTAGCTGGACCCTGGGAATGTGGCTTTTGCTATAAGGGAAAATGTAGTAAGGCTCTCGGTTCTGGAGAAGGGTAAGGAATAGACTGTGTGAATTCCATATTTCTGGGGAGCACTTTAAGTCAAGGCACTGAGCCTTGATAGCATGTGCCTGAATGGAGCTTTTTTGCTCATGTTTTCAGTATGAGTCGTCAGGCAGCACTGACCAAATTCCCTAAATCCTGCTCCTGCTTGCACTAGGCTCTGTGTGAAATCTGGCCTGGGTTCTCTGTGGGAGGAAGCGCCTTTGGAAGTACCAAGTGCCTGGTCAGGAATCTGGAGGAGGTATCTCAGAACATTACCTTTATATAGGAAGAGTTTCATAACTGACTTGCAAAAATGATTAAAAGTGCAGTTTTCCAAAGACATGTAAATAAACACCTTTTTCTCACCAGAGGATACCAACTGCAAGAGTGAAACCTAGTGTCCAGTCTGGGAATTACAGCAGCCTTGCCCCAGTTGTTTGGATTAAGTTACAATTGAAACCGCAGTCACTGGCTACAAATGCCTAAAGTTTTCTCTTGTAAAGAGCGCCACTTCTACTTCTTGTAATCCCTTTCGTTTTACATGTTGGAGTCTAGGCTCTGACATTCCAGATCAGAGGCCACAAAAACAGAATAATTTTGTTACAAGTACAGTTTAAAAACTCCTTTTTCCTGACCGCCTAGGATCATTGTGCATGTGTGTGAGTGAGTGAAACTGGGAAAGAAATCCCAATTGCCAATAATATGGTGCTCCCTTTTTTATGATGTATTCTTTCATCTGCACATCCACCTCTTCCCTTTCAGCTTTCAAGAAGTTGGCTGCCAGACAACTAGGACATCAGCCTTTCCCAGCAGTGAGTTGGTCTAGGGAATGGTGTAGCAGCACTGACTGTGGGGAAATGCTCAGAGGACTCTCCACGCCATGCTATCCCCACAGGAATGGAGTAGGAACACTTAGATGGCACTTGACTTGGACCAGTGTGATTTAGCTTCTCTTTCTTCTTTCATTAGTCTCCCAAAGCCAGAATAGAAAATTAACCCTCAAGTTCTCCTGGAAACCCAAAGGTCTGTCCCTCGCGGTGGTGGAACAGGAGTCACCAGGGAGACATTATGCTCAAAAGGGCTTATACGATCTTTGAATGCATAAACAGAGGAATCTCGAGTCGGAGTAGATGGGTTTTTATGTCTGTGTTTGGCACTGGTGCAACCGCTGCTGGAATATTGTGTCCAGTTCTATTGTCAAAAATTGAAGAAGGATGTTGCTAAATTGGAGAGAGCTCAGAGAAGAGCCATGAGAATGATTAAAGGATTAGAAAACGTGCCTTTAGGCTCCAGGAGCCTAATCTGTCACTATTTATCTTAACAAAGAGAAGGTTAAAGGGTGACTTGATTACAGTCTCTAAATACCTGCATGGGAAACAAATCTTTGATAATGGGCTCTTCAGTCAGACACAGAAAGGTACAACATGATTCAATGGCTGGAACTTGAAGTGAGATGAAATTCAGACTGGAAATAAGTCATACGTTTACCGAGGGTCAGGGTGGATTCTCCACCACGGGCAATTTTTAAATCAAGTCTGGATGTCTTTCTAAAAGACGTGTTCTAGGAATTATTTTGGGGAAGTTCTAAGGGCTGTGTTGTGCAGGTCAGACTAGAATCTAGTCTGTGCAGCCCGC